TTAGATAGATAGATAGATAGATAGATAATTAAAAGACTAAATTAAAAGATGACTAAAAGACATAGATGACTAAAAGACATAGATAGATGACTAAAAGACATAGATGACTAAAAGACATAGATAGATAGATAGATAGATAGATAGATAGATAGATAGATAATTAAAAGACATAGATAGATAGATAGATAGATAGATAGATAGATAGATAGATAGATAGATAGATAGATAGATAAAAGACATAGATAATTAAAAGACAGATAATTAAAAGACATAGATAGATAGATAGATAGATAGATAGATAGATAGATAGATAGATAGATAGATAGATAGATAAAAGACATAGATAATTAAAAGACATAGATAGATAGATAGATAGATAGATAGATAGATAGATAGATAAAAGACATAGATAATTAAAAGACATAGATAGATAGATAGATAGATAGATAGATAGATAGATAGATAGATAGATAGATAGATAATTAAAAGACATAGATAGATAGATAATTAAAACATAGATAATTAAAAGACATAGATAGATAGATAGATAGATAGATAGATAGATAGATAGATAGATAGATAGATACGAACAGGATGAAGTAGATAGCTAGAGCCTGGTTTAACTTTGGCAACACTAACAATTCTGCCAGATTTACCGTTCAGTGCAGTAGTGGGCTTCTGCAAGAACGATTCAATGCGTTGGCAGGATTCTTCAAAATGATTCATTGTACTGATGAAATTTTCCTGCTTTATTCTGCGCAATTATATAATATTAATGAAAAAGGAAATAAAAGTCATCTGCCGTAGAGCTGTGAGTAGCAAAAGCTCTTATCACTGACCAGTGCTGCGAAACGATGACTTTCTACCAAATTAAGTTTAATGGTGTGGAATTGTCGATGACGTGAAACTTTTTTATTTGACATTATATTTTATTCAACTTCTGGCTTCATCAGTTTTCCTCGGCCAGTCTGTAGTGCGGATCCACAGATCCCTTGTTCTATACGTGGACCTTACACTCTGAGATGTGTGAGAGACTGCTTCTAAAATCTTTCTCGATGTAGTTCTTTATTACAACTGCCGTGTGCATTACGAAACTTCCCACAGTTGCAAAACCGGATATATATGCAAAGGTCATAGGTTTCTCCATTCAGACGCCGGGAATCGCAAGCCAAATCCCATGTCACGACTGGTTTCTTTCATGTCTATTCTGCCATCATACTAGATTAAACAAAGAATAACATTTCTTAAATTTCTTTGTTCATTGATGACGAACAAAGAAAATACTTTACAAAAAATAACATCGAAGTGCTCGTTTAAATTTTCGATAAGTAGAATAGTGAAGTATGTAACTCGCTTAAAATGACAACAAAATATCTTTCGTACTCAGCGTTAAATCAGATCATCAGAGAAACCAAGTGCATCAGAGGGTTCACGTAAAAGATGCCCTCCTAGTCACCAGGAGCAGATCCTCGCTTCGCTTGATGTCAGTGGCTGACCGGGACCCAAATGCGCTTGGTATGTGCACACGTGGGATAAACTGGGTAATACATAGACATATAAGCATGAACCCGAGACGGGGGAGAAGAGACTTTCTTACATAGTCACGAGGATGTAGAATTCACATTAGGAGAAAAGCCCAGTCATATACCTACTTGTCGACAGTCATTGACGAAGTCCAGAGTTGAATAAGGAATAATGCCACATTTGACCGATGAAAACTTTAGAATATTCTTCCTGGAAATTTTTCAGAGAAGAGGGATTTTGATTCATTTCGATAAAGTACGTCATAAAGATCTTTTGGCACTGTCCAGTATCTTTGACATATTCAGAAAAGATATTAGAATAACCCAGAACCTATACTCTCAGCAAACCGCCTGCAGACGGACAGAAAATGAGTTCATCAGATATACAAAAATAGAAAGGAGGGTGTAAGACAAGGATGATTTATTCAACGTATAGGGTGAGAACATTCTGAGAGAATTAGAAGTCCTACCAGGATTTATTGCTGGCACGACAATCTTAACAATATAAGATATGCCGATGACACTGTGTTTATAACAGACACGGAAAGAAAACTACAAAAGTTCCTACAGAAGGCAGTGAAGGAAAACGAGAAGAAAGGACTAAGTATAAACTATAAGAAGACAGAATACATGGTTATCAACAAAAAGATGGGCCCCAAATGCAAATCAAGGTTACTAAAATCAAACACGTACAAACATTTAAATATCTGGGAAGTGTTTTAACAGAGGACGGTAAGTGCGACACTGAGATCCAAAGACGTATTGGGATGGCCAAAGATGCCTTCCAAAAGCTAAGCAGAGTATTAAGAAACAGAAAAATTTCGTTAGAAACAGAGAAAAGACTACTGAATTCTTACGTGATATTTATCTTTCTGTATCGTAGCTAATGCTGGACAATCGCCTCAAAGATGAAGAAGTGACTTGAAGCAACAGAAATATAGTTATGCAGAAAGATGTTGAGGATACCATGGGCCGAACATGTGCGCAACGCCGAGAACATGGAAACGAAAAAGAAACTTATACTTAAAATCAGTTGAAATTTCTGGGACACATAATGAGGAAGGAGGGCTTGGAAAATGTGATACTCACAGGACAGATTGAGAATAAGGGGGACATAGGAACTCCGCGCATAACCTGCTTGATAAACTTGAGTTAATGAACGGTAGAACAGAGTTTAGAAAAAAATAACAAAAAGATAAAATTTGTTAAGAGCTACAAGGGACTGGAAGGTGCGGAGGGCCATGATCGCCAACGTTCTGAAGGGACACAGCACTTAAAAGAAGATTTCAAGGCAAAGGAAAATCGATGCTTACCAATACATCGAAGAAAAGTATTTTGTGTTGTGTTCCTTAACGAAGAAGAAACTTCTGAGGCTGCGGTATTAACGATTTTCCCAGAAGACGAAAACAAAATATACATTAGTCATACAAGTATAACAAACTAATGAGGATAGGAATACAATTATAACTAAAAGATGCTTTTCAGACGGACTTTAGCCGATCTCCTACGGCGGGCTTTTAGGCCTTCAGCTTTTTACCTTCAGCGCCCTATGTAGGTAAAGAATTTAGAAATAATAAAATTGTTTTATCTTTATTCAACAACTTACTTCGGCATAATCTTTCTTCGTATACGCAACCGATCTCTGTTTACATTTATTTTGCGCGCCATTTTTATTTTCTTTCAAAATCACCATTCTTTATGATCCCTTCACATAAAGCCATTCTTCTTAAAAGACATTAGGGATTTCGAACTAGGTAATATTTCGAATTTGTCACAATACGCGTGCTAGAAAAATTAAAAAAAAAACGATATGAGCAACGTACCGTGCCCTGCTTAAATTTTAATTACGGTTTAATTAGACGATATCAATTGGAATTGCGACGAAAAGCGAAATTAAAGTCAAACGTTTAATAAAGAATTGTTTTTGATTTTAAACCTTTCACTCTGTTCGATATTTAAATGTAACTTTAAATGAGTTATTTATTTAATTTTTAATCGCGGTAACTAAAGTAGTTAATACCTGTTACGTCAGATTGTTTATGATTCGCCGAGATCAAAAAACGGACGGAAGGACGGACAGACGGACACTACGCTTTATTTATATAAATGCTGAGCAAGTTCACTTTGCTATAATTTGACCTTTGTTCAAACTTAAATCGCCAACAGTGTTTCGAAGTTGGTGACCGCCCACAGACGGAATGGGTCTGTTCAAGCGAACTTTACGTTATGAAAATTATCAGCAAGATATGAATTTGTTTATAGTGTTTTTTTTTTTTGTTGTTTTTTCATTTCATTTCTTCTTCATTTTCCTTGCATATTTAATCTAATATTTTTAATAGCACCTGTTACTCATAAAATGTTTCTCTTTTTCAAAAGCGACACAATTTTTCAGCTCATAACACAATTTCGATCGCATATAATTACATCTGAAGAAGATCACACATGAATGCACGCGCACACAGGTAAACTGTACAAGAAACACACGAAATGATTATATACCGTATACACACAAATACACACGCGCGGGCACACACGCACAAATACAGACACAGATTAACAGGTAAGGAGACACATGTGGAAGCAGGTTAATCCTAGTATTTGTTAATACCGAGTTCGATTACTGTTGGGTAAGCTATGAAAATAACTTTAACTAGAGATTGGTTTAAAATGAGAAAACAAAAACAGAAGATTGTTAAGTTTGATAGACAAAATTTTGAAATACTATGCGCATGTGTACTTATGGCCACTACCAGTTTACAGGCGTTCGTACAAGATAGGGAATGGTAGATAAATTCGAGCATGTCTGCAAATAGATTTAGATAGATAGATAGATAGATAGATAGATAGATAGATGAACATACAGTGATAGATAGATAGATAGATAGATAGATAGATAGATAGATAGATGAACATATTGTGATAGTTATTTTGATATATAAACATAGATAGTCATCTTGATAGATAGATAGATAGATAGATAGATAGATGAACATATTGTGATAGATAGTCATTTTGATATATAAAAATAGTCATCTTGATAGATAAACATAATTAGATAGATAGATAGATAGATAGATGAACATATTGTGATAGTTATTTTGATATATAAACATAGATAGTCATCTTGATAGATAGATAGATAGATAGATAGATAGATAGATAGATATAGATAGATAGATGAACATATTGTGATAGTCATTTTGATATATAAACATAGATAGTCATCTTGATAGATAAACATAATTAGATAGATAGATAGATAGATAGATAGATAGATAGATAGATAGATAGATAGATAGATAGATGAACCTATTGTGATAGATAGTCATTTTGATATATAAACATAGATAGTCATCTTGATAGATAAACATAATTAGATAGATAGATAGATAGATAGATAGATAGATAGATAGATAGATAGATAGATTATCGACAGCGCCATTTATATTACGTGTACTCTGGCGTGTGTACAGACTTCCACACTTCAGTTCAAGACATAAAGTTGTATAGAAAAATCCCTTGCACGCACAGTGATTTCCATCTGGATGCCTCAACACCGAACCCTCGCTGTTTAATATGGCAGACAAGCAGATGGCGATGGCGACAGAATTTCGGAAGAAACAAAGTGGACGGTTGAAGGTGGAAGATGTGGCGGAAAAAAGATTTTTTCACAACATTTGCCACACCTGAATGGTGTAATTTACCTTGCGGATCGCGCCGAAGAAAAGAAAATGGAATAGTCCAGGAAAGAAAGTGAGAGAATGACAGAGGGTGAGGAAAGAAAGAAAGAAAGAAAGAAAGAAAGAAAGAAAGACGTAAAGAAAAGAAGCGAAATTGAATACTATTGATAAATTCCTCACAAGGAAAGCAATGATCAATTTCCTAGAACGGGGCATGCAGAGAAAAAGATGTAAAGCTTAATTCCTGGTGAAAACGAGAAGCCCTTTCTCTCTCCATGAGCACACACACGCACACGGACACACACACACACACACACACACATACAGATACCCCCCCACACACACACATACAGATACCCCCACGCACACACACACACATACACGCGCTTCTAAAGTGCGTCTAATTTAGTAGGTAAAAATATTATTTACAACGATTACCAATTTCTGGTGGCAGCCAGGATTTTGGGTACCCATTTCAATGTCATCTCCACCTTGAAAATGATTGACGCAACACAATCTTCCTACACTTAATTTTCTAATTTCACCTTGGGAATGACTACCTCAATTCTCGAAGAAATCGAGAAACCCATTCTCACTCCATGAGCACCCACACACACACACAAACACGCGCGCACGAGCGCGTCCTGGGTATGACGATAAACTACATCCGGCAGCAAGGCCTCTGATCCGGGAGACTTTGAGGAACGTGGAACCATCTCTTAATTGCTGGTGTTCCCAAGTTCACACTGACCTGGGACGGTAGCACTTGTTAGGGACCCAGCTGTGGGCAAATAGTTAACTCCAAAACTTGGGTCAAAACACTATGAAAGTATAAAAAATAGATTTTTATAATAAAAATACCAGCAATATATTTTCAAAGTAAAAAGAATTTCCCGCAATACATTTTTGTAAATGAAATTACTCCCAAGAAAATTAAATTTCGGCATTAAATGACCCATAAGGTGTTGATATGCCGCCAAACAAACAACACACACACAAATACACATACCCATACATACATATATACCTAGCCCCTACACACACACGCACACACACTCTTCCTGTTTGGTAGATAAAAATATTCTTTCCAACTAATATCAATATTTGGTGACAGCCAGGATTTTGGGTACCTATTTTTGAAGGTCATCTTCACCTTGAAAATGATTGACGCAACACAATCTTCTGACACTTAGTTTTCTAATTTGACCTTGCGAATGACTACCTTTGAGTTTCAAATAGTCAGATCGAGGTGATTATTCTTATTTGGAGAAAAATCCACCCGGGTATCCTTATCCCGACCACCCGTTTTATTAAACAATCAGGAAATTTCCGGTACCACCCCTTGATTTAAGCTGAGAGCGTTCTAGAATAAAAAGGTTTCATTATTGAAAGTTATAAAATAAAATTCCAACCACTCCTTATATCCCAGCCTATTTGAAACTCGAGTGTATACTGAACTTATTAAATCTGTCGAAGGCGATACTTATCTCAAAATGAATTTTATGTGTCCGATGTTGCCGGACGCTACCAAACATTCAAGTAATGATGTTCTTTTCAACTAGTTCTTTTTGAACTGAGTTAACACACCAGCTTGTACATATGTAGTAACATGACCCATACAAGGGTTTTGTGCTTCCCCAGAATCTATGAATACGGCCCTCCACTACTTCTAAAAACATCCCAATTTTCATTAGGTCGTATTCATAAAAATATAAATATTATACGTTTACTTTTGAATTTAATTTTTATTTATTTTATTTTTTTATTTTTTATTTTATTTTATTTTATTTCTTTTTTTTTCAATTTGATTTATCAACATGCATAAACAAGTTGGCCTCATTCTGCTTTCTAAAAGCAAAAAACAAAAGCAATGAGAGATGGGCTCGGGTAAGTGTTCCTAAATCCCCAGCCATTTTTTCGATGTAGGATCGTAACTGGAGTTTGTTGTATTTTTGTTGTGGAGTATTTTCACAGTGGAGGCTTGTATTTCTAATGAGTCGTCCTAAATTAGGTCCGACGTACAAAACGTTAGGAACTTGGAAAATAATAGTCAATGGCGCAGCAATCTAGTTGTGATGGTTGGTACTTCAAATGTCCGAAGCTCGACTGACGCGCTCAACACCATTCGGTATTTATCATTTCACCCACGGGAAACGAATATGGCACAAGGCCGGTTTTATTGTGGGTTTCTCCGAGCCCGTAGGCTCGGGAAAAAAATAGCCTTTTGAAGCCGATTAGACGGGTTCAGGCCTATCTACCTCCCCGGACGAAACCTTGCCCTTCGGCAAAGCTTCGTCCGGGTTCCTCTCATCTAATGCAGAGTTCGACAGAAGGCGTGCGCAGTCAAAGACCGCTCAACACCATTCGGTATTTATCATTTCACCCACGGAAACGAATATGGCACAAGGCCGGTTTTATTGTGGGTTTCTCCGAGCCCGTAGGCTCGGCCAAAAAATAGCCTTTTGAAGCCGATTAGACGGGTTCAGGCCCTGTCTACCTCCCCGGACGAAACCTTGCCCTTCGGCAAAGCTTCGTCCGGGTTCCTCTCTGCTAATGCAGAGAGTTCGACAGAAGGCGTGCGCAGTCAAAGACCGCTCAACACCATTCGGTATTTATCATTTCACCCACGGGAAACGAATATGGCACAAGGCCGGTTTTATTGTGGGTTTCTCCGAGCCCGTAGGCTCGGCAAAAAAAAATAGCCTTTTGAAGCCGATTAGACGGGTTCAGGCCTGTCTACCTCCCGGACGAAACCTTGCCCTTCGGCAAAGCCTCGTCCGGGTTCCTCTACCTGCTAATGCAGATAGTTCGACATAAGGTGTGCGCAGTCAGAGACCGCTCAACACCATTCGGTATTTATCATTTCACCCACGAGAAACGAATATGGCACAAGGCCGGTTTTATTGTGGTTTTCTCCGCGCCCGTAGGCTCGGCCAAAAAAATAGCCTTTTGAAGCAGATTATACGGGTTCAGGCCCTGTCTACCTCCCCGGACGAAACCTTGCCCTTCGGCAAAGCCTCGTCCGGGTTCCTCTCTGCTAACGCAGAGAGTTCGACAGGAGGCGTGCGCAGTCAAAGACCGCGAGACGCAATTCTGCCAGACTTGCCACTGCTACTCCTACTTATTATCTATGGGAGAGTCCATTACAATAGAATAGGTACTATGGCATAACAATTTTGTTACACCCACCACATACGATTTCATCGATAAAACCATCAGAGTATTTTTTTTTATTCTGTCATTCAATTACACACAATTATTCGTTTTTTACGGCTTATCAACCCTTTCCAGGTTATTTAAACCCAGAAAATATTTTCAGATTCTAATAATATTTTTAAATAATAAATGTTTAGTGATATAACACTCACTAATTAAAGAGGTGGATTCATTACTAATCAGAATTTAATAAGCAAACATAAAATTATAATGTGTATATTAAGTGGAGGATCACTTTTATATTACAATCAATATATTAACTTTTCTCTCACTTTATGGACAAGGTTATACATTTATATCGCAGTGAAAATAAATAAATCTAAAAGACATGCCTGTGTATCTAATCAGTATTTCATTGATTGATTCATTCATTTTCTACGGCTTATCAACAAACAAGAAATTATAATATGTACATGAAGAGGGGGATCAATTCTATGTTAAAATCAATATATACACTGATCCCTCACTTTCTGGCAATCGTAGTTTCTATACATTTATATTCCAGGGACTGTAAATAAATCTAAAAGACATGCCTGTGTATCTAATCATTATTTCATTGATTCATTCATTCATTTTCTACGGCTTATCAACAAACAAGAAATTATAATATGTACATGAAGAGGGGGATCAATTCTATGTTAAAATCAATATATACACTGATCCCTCACTTTCTGGCCATCGTAGTTTCTATACATTATATTCAGAGGGACTGTAAATAAATCTAAAAGACATGCCTGTGTATCTAATCATTATTTCATTGATTCATTCATTCATTTTCTACGGCTTATCAACAAACAATAATATGGATATGAAGAGGGGGATCAATTCTATGTTAAAATCAATATATACACTGATCCCTCACTTTCTGGCCATCGTTGTTTCTATACATTTATATTCCAGGAACTGTAAATAAATCTAAAAGACATGCCTGTGTATCTAATCATTATTTCATTGATGGATTCATTCATTTTCTACGGCTTATCAACAAACAAGAAATTATAATATGGATATGAAGAGGGGGATCAATTCTATGTTAAAATCAATATATACACTGATCCCTCACTTTCTGGCCATCGTTGTTTCTATACATTTATATTCCAGGGAGTGTAAATAAATCTAAAAGACATGCCTGTGTATCTAATCATTATTTCATTGATTGATTCATTCATTTTCTAAGGCTTATCAACAAACAATAATATGGATATGAAGAGGGGGATCAATTCTATGTTAAAATCAATATATACACTGATCCCTCACTTTCTAGCCATCGTTGTTTCTATACATTTATATTCCAGGGACTGTAAATAAATCTAAAAGACATGCCTGTGTATCTAATCATTATTTCATTGATTGATTCATTCATTTTCTACGGCTTATCAACAAACAAGAAATTATAATATGGATATGAAGAGGGGGATCAATTCTATGTTAAAATCAATATATACACTGATCCCTCACTTTCTGGCCATCGTTGTTTCTATACATTTATATTCCAGGGACTGTAAATAAATCTAAAAGACATGACTGTGTATCTAATCATTATTTCATTGATTGATTCATTCATTTTCTACGGCTTATCAACAAACAAGAAATTATAATATGGATAGGAAGAGGGGGATCAATTCTATGTTAAAATCAATATATACACTGATCCCTCACTTTCTGGCCATCGTTGTTTCTATACATTTATATTCCAGGGACTGTAAATAAATCTAAAAGACATGCCTGTGTATCTAATCATTATTTCATTGATTGATTCATTCATTTTCTACGGCTTATCAACAAATAATAATATGGATATGAAGAGGGGGATCAATTCTATGTTAAAATCAATATATACACTGATCCCTCACTTTCTGGCCATCGTTGTTTCTATACATTTATATTCCAGGGACTGTAAATAAATCTAAAAGACATGCCTGTGTATCTAATCATTATTTCATTGATTGATTCATTCATTTTCTACGGCTTATCAACAAACAAGAAATTATAATATGGATATGAAGAGGGGGATCAATTCTATGTTAAAATCAATATATACACTGATCCCTCACTTTCTGGCCATCGTTGTTTCTATACATTTATATTCCAGGGACTGTAAATAAATCTAAAAGACATGCCTGTGTATCTAATCATTATTTCATTGATTGATTCATTCATTTTCTACGGCTTATCAACAAACAAGAAATTATAATATGGATATGAAGAGGGGATCAATTCTATGTTAAAATCAATATATACACTGATCCCTCACTTTCTGGCCATCGTTGTTTCTATACATTTATATTCCAGGGACTGTAAATAAATCTAAAAGACATGCCTGTGTATCTAATCATTATTTCATTGATTGATTCATTCATTTTCTACGGCTTATCAACAAACAATAATATGGATATGAAGAGGGGGATCAATTCTATGTTAAAATCAATATATACACTGATCCCTCACTTTCTGGCCATCGTTGTTTCTATACATTTATATTCCAGGGACTGTAAATAAATCTAAAAGACATGCCTGTGTATCTAATCATTATTTCATTGATGGATTCATTCATTTTCTACGGCTTATCAACAAACAATAATATGGATATGAAAGAGGGGGATCAATTCTATGTTAAAATCAATATATACACTGATCCCTCACTTTCTGGCCATCGTTGTTTCTATACATTTATATTCCAGGGACTGTAAATAAATCTAAAAGACATGCCTGTGTATCTAATCATTATTTCATTGATTATTTTCATTTTCTACGGCTTATCAACAAACAATTGATGGATATGAAAGGGGATCAATTCTATGTTTCATATACACTTTTCTGGCCACGGCATTTATATTCCAGGGACTGTTAAATCTAAAAACATGCCTGTATCTAATCAAATTGATGGATTCATTCAAACGACTTTCCAGGTTAGTTAAAACTAGAAAATATATCTAAATGATAAGAATTTTTTTTTTTAGATAATAAGGGTTTAGAGATACAAGTCTTACTAATTAACCCATAGCTGGGGAGAGAAAAGTTGGATTCTTACCTTTCTCAATGATATTTCCGCGTAAGTAAATATAACGAACCCACAGGGATTTGAACTCGGGCTCTCCGATTAACAATTTCGAGCCAGTGTCCATTACACCACCCGGATATCCAAGCTTACAAGCACCTTGTATTCACAAGTGGTCACCCATCTAGGTACTGACCAGGCTCGACGTTGCTTAATTTTGGTAATCTTACGGGAACAGGTATTTCGACGCGATGTGGGTATATATATATATATATATATATATATATATATATATATCGATAGCTGCATTCGTCACAGGTGGGATAAATTTAAATCTGCATGGCACTTTACACCAATTGACTCATTGGCTTGCTTAAACTCAACGTTGATTCTGATTCCGCAGAACTGGGTTGGGTGTGAAAAAGTATTTGTAGTTAACATTCTTTTTTCATTCGGTTTTTCCAGTTACGAGTCATTTTGTTTAGTTCTTTTTTCGTAAGAGATTTAATATTTAGTATAGATCTTAGAAAAAATTCGCAGTGTGAGATAGGCAAGAAGTAAGGCATGTAGCATCATCAGCACGGCAAAGGGCACTCCTTTAAAAGCAAGGAAGGGCAAAAATATTTTAAGTCAAGTGATAGCGATTGCTGTATGAGTCTTACGATTTTTTAATCAAGCACGGGCAGCGCCGGGCCATGCTGCTAGTATATATATATATATATATATATATATATATATATCTGTGTGTGTACGTGTGCATGTGCGTGCGTGTGTGTCAGTAATTCATCTAATTATCTCTCATTTCTTTTCGCTGTGCCTAAATCAATTTTTACTGTTTTATAACTTTGATGACATTTCTTATCTTGGTCTTTTTTTTAACCATCTAAACTTTTTTTGTATTTTTTTAGAGTTATCCCAGGCATTTATCTGTGGGTGTGTATTTCTCAGTTCCTTTCTCAGGCAAATTTGTTAATTTCCGCGTTTCATAGCCTTACTATATTTGCTGAAAGTATCCATAAATTATACGCTTTAAGTTTTGAGCCTATCTGCAAGATGCCTCTTGATATGCCTCTAACATCGAAAAAGCAGAATTAATTAAAGTAGATGAACATAGAAAGCGTGAAAATGATCAGAAAAGGAAAGCCTCGAATGTAGCTTCATTTGCAGAACACACTAACAACCAGTGTTTTCAATGAACAACAAAAGCCTGGAACTCATTAAATACAGGTACAAAATGTTACGAATAAACAAAGCGTATAATGGAATGTACATATGCTTCGAAAATAAAAAATAACGCCAACAGTCAATGCGACATTGATGTGTCAGAAAGAGAAAACACCTGGTGAAGATGGCATTGTAACAGACCTTTGGAAATATGCAGGAAAAGAATCCCGTACTAATTGACATAAATATTTATCGAGTACATACTGCAGAGAAATGTACTTAAAAACTTCACTTTCGGAATTGTAATTCTACCTTAGATAAACGGAGATGATGACTTTGTCAAAGAGATAATACATATCTTGATAGGTGATGGATTCAGGGTTATCCTTGTCTAGACTAGTTGCCAACCAAAGCTACAGAACCCAAATTTCCCTCCTATTGACGAAGAGAAGAGATGGATTCAGACCTTTCCAAGTGTATTTGTACCAAAACAAAGGCAACGGTTTCGACTATAATTTGAATTCGACACGCCACTTTCTGCGCTGATAGCTGCTATGTGCACATCCAATCACTTTTAATAATCAGTCATAGGCGTAACATTATCATTACTGATAGTAATAATAGTAGTAGAGTCTCTAACATTTCCGTTTGTCAAATAACATGTTACCTCGTTACAGCCATTGTGATACTATAGAAAACCATATAAAAAGGGAAGAAGTGGTTTTATTTCGATCGCAAGTGTTTCTATTTGATGGATCAGCAAATAGTTCTTTTTGAAGTTCGATCTTCTAAATGGCATCCACTTTAACCGGAATGGAATCGGAAGTATAGGAGTGGACTGCGTTTTGTTTTGTTTTTTTTTTTTTTTGGGGGGGGGTATTTTGTTTTTTTTTTTTCTTTCTTTTTGAAGATCAAGTAGCAATAAAACGGGAAATATGGTATATCCGCTTGCTCGTCTATATTAAAAGTCATGCTTGGGGTCGGAGAGAATTTTGCTCCGATTTTGGTGGGTGGAGATGGACGTCTCCTTCACGTAGTTGCAAAGCCATCCACTTCGTCGGGATGAAAGATGGAAGCAAAGACTGACATAACAGAGGTTGTTCCAAATATCACCTACCTTCCCAACCGAACGAGCAGGCGAAGTCCTGAAGAAAAGACTTACATATAATATAGAAAACGGGGTGCGCGTTCTTATTTCTCGACGTGTAGTTTGTCTCTCATCGTGTTAGTTTGTGAGCGTGCATCACACCCTTTCCCAGCTTTCGATGCACACTGGTTTGTCGTTTGTTTCATTTCTCTTTACTTGAACGTGGCGTAGTGGTTATCGGTGCAGAAAGTGGTATTAATGTGCCGATTTCAAGTTCCAACGCGGGTAGTTGCTTTCGCTTTCGTAGAAATACCTCCGAGAAACATATAAATCCATTTCTTCTCTCTCGACGTCTAAGAGTTAATAGGAGAGCAGACTGTACTGGTAACCAATCTAAGAGAAGAAAAATTCTGAATTCCAAACCAGCCTCAAGAGAGATGGGTTCTGCCAGGCTATCTTGCAATGCAAACGTTAAATGTGGTGCTCATACGACCCTAACAGTTTTCAAGGGTCGTGGCGCTGCGCTTCGACAATGATACGGATTTTCGAAACATGGCTTAGATGTGGCACAAGGCCGAAAATATGGAGAACCTCTTGAGGATCGAACTCACCACTCAGTTGTAAATGATCTAGCGAGGCAAGAATGCTAACCATTACACCACGTCGAAGTGCCCATGAACAATAACAACTTTTAGAAATATCAGGACCTCGCACGAGAGCGGTAGAAATTGTAGAACGAGAAAGTGAGATAATTTTTGTTTTAATTTGTTGGAAGAGGAGTTATCAAGTCCAACAGCAGAAATATTTTGATCACAAAAACAAAAGTGACGATCATAGTCCGCATATGTGAAATGCACTATTTACATATGGACTGTTGTCCTGATCTTTGTCGGTGTTATCACAATGTTTCGGCAGTTGTGTCCTATGGCCTTCATCATGTGCTTATCGATATGGGTAACCTACAGGGTATGCCGAACTGAACACTTTATTTAATCTACTGTTCTCGTTCCACCCGTCTGTCAGTTCTTCTTCTTACATGTCCCACAAAATATAATAATAATAATAATAATAATAATAATAGACAGAGCATCTAGCCAAATATGGCATTCACTAAAAGTGACGTTTAAGCAATAACAGAAAAATATGTAGGATTAATAAATAAAGATATCCATTCTCATATATATATATATATATATATATATATATATATATATATATATATATATATATATATATATATAAGACAACAGGAAAACTGTAGTAGTTTAAATTGGTACGCTCATAAAAAAAAGAAAATAATTCACTCAGAAGGAAAATCCTCGAGAGTGCCGCCATTGAATATTACCCAAATATTAATCTACGCCCAGGCTTTTTCCCTATTTCACCTTTCTTAACAGAATTACTTCTCTCCCAAACAAACGTACAGAACAGTATCAAGAAATGAAAAGAAAATGGTTGAATCTGTCAACACAGCAATAAAGACAATATCTCTACACGTGACAGTAATTGACGAAATTTTCAGTTAACAGTATGAAAATAGCGTTCTCTAAATTCTTCCAGTTGCTAAGGACATGTTGTTTTTGCTATTATTAGTTACATTGTTTAATAAATTCATTTCTTTTTTTGTCTTGAAAAAGTCCACATCGGACGAAACGCGCCGGCAACTATTACAGTTTTCCTATTGTCTTTTATATTTATAAATATTGTCTTTTTCTACAGGTTAATTCTGATATATATATATATATATATATATATATATATATATATATATATATATATATATATATATATATATATATCAGCGCTTGTGTCTCTGAGTGTAACAACTGTTCATCGCCCCATCTGTTATTTCTTCTTCTTCTGCCTATATGTCCCGCCTAAATCCATTTTCACTGTTTAATAACTTCGATGACATTTCTTATCTTGGTCTGTTCTTTAAACCGTCTTGACTTTTTTCTATGTTTTCAAGTAAATCCCAAGCGCTGATCTTTCGAGCGGGTGGCATTTCTCTGTTTGTTTTCAGGCAATTTTCTTAATTTCCGTTAATTTAGTTTCATAGCCTTAATATATTTGCTGAAAATACCCATGCATTATACGCTTTAAGTTTTGAGCATATCTGCAAGATGCCTCTTTATATGCCTCTAAAATTGAAAAAGCAAAATTAATTAAACTAGATGAACATAGAAAACATGAAAGCGATCAAAAAAGGAAAGCCTTGAAACTAGCTTCATTTTCACAAATTCTGGAGTTCTTTACTTATCAGAGCGATCAGAGTGAGTTTTCCAAGTTGCCGTACCTTCGTAATCACCATTAGACTCCCCAAACTCTTTCTTAGAAAATCCTTTGCACTTTCCCCAGATTGACAACCAAAAACTCTGAAATGTTACTATTGGGGCCAAGCATACAGTTTCCAAGTTTTTTAAAAAAAAAAAACATAAAAAGCAATATTCGTCAAAAAACGGTAAAATTAATGAAAAAGTGCTTAAAACAATTCTACAAAATGAAAATATAAAGCAATTCAAGAATTTTTTTTCGAAAAGCGACCTTCTTGCTACTGCCGCATCAACCAATTTGGTATCGTCAAGAATTTTTTTTTTTAATATGAAGACGTCAACTCGAATTCCAGCCACGCTGAATTAGCGCAAAGCTATTACTATTCAAACAGAACAACAATTACATCTTAAACAGTCAAACATGAGAAGAAATTAACATCTACAAAGAACTCCCTCCTCCCTTGAAAATGGCTAAAGAAGTGACGGAAAGCGATTGGGACAATGAAAAATACGAACAATTTTTGAACTCCCTTACACCCAGCAAACGGGAAAATATAATAATAACGGTAAAACTATGATTTCCTGTTATATTCAACAAAACAAGTTTAAAAGGTTGCTGCTCAAGTATACATTATATATATATATATATATATATATATATATATATATATATATATATATATATATATAGAGAGAGAGAGAGAGAGAGAGATAGATAGATAGATAGATAG